CAAATTGATGAATTTGATAGATTGTTGAATTTCTTTTGGGTTCATGAGATGCGTAGGATAGATTATGATTGATTCAGAGATGTGACAATTTTTTATACAAGCTATTGGCTTAATAAATATAATTTAGTTTGTGCGCCATTTATCGAAGTTAATAATCATTAAAAGAATATTCTCTTTGGGGTGACTTTTTATCAGAGGAAATGATTGAATCATTTACGTGACTGTTTAGAACATTTATATGAATAATGTGTGATAAATATCCAATAATAATATTTATTGATCATGACCGAACAATGACTAAGACCATAAAAGTTGCATTACCTCACAAACGTCATAGATCGTGCTAGTGGCACATCTCTAAAAAGGTTACATCAAATGTTTTGTGCTTCAATTAAAATAACAAAATTAGATGTCTCTTTTATAAATTTTTGAGCAAATGTGATTTTGAGGATGAGTTTGAAAAAATATGGAATGAAATGATCATAAAAGGGAGCCTCCATAGCAATAGTTGGTTGAAGGACCTTTATAGGATAAGAAATAAGTGGTCAATAACTTTCAGTAATGATTACTTTAGCATGAGCATTATATCCATAGCGTAGCGAGTCTACTAATAATATGTGTCATGACATTTCGAATCCCACAAATTCTATAATTGTTGTAGGTAAAACACAGGGCGTCATTGGAAAATTGAAAGACCTACTAAAATGTAGGCTTAAATGCATATCTAAATCAAGGATGATTGGCCACTATGAAAAAAAGAAGCATAAGAGTAATATTTAACTTAATAATTGCTTTTTAATGTATATTATGAGGCATACGTTTCGATGAGCTCAATTTTTTCAATAGAAAAATCTGTCGTGGAGGCAACTACAACAGAACTATTTTTACCTTCAAGAAAGATAAAGTTCTCAAACATGCCTAAATGCTTCAATGAAAAATTTAGAAACAGGGCAAGATGAAGTCAACTGGCGTCTTAGTACACGAGGATGATAATGAATATCATTGCCTAAGAGCAACTATTGCATTAAATTTTATTTTAGGTTAATAATATTAATTATACATGAGGATGATGATGGTGGATATGAAAATTTGATGTCATTTATCAGCATGCTTTTTAAAATATTTATCCATAAAAATTTGCATTTCCTGAGTTATCATCTCCCTGTCAATGAATTTCATCTTTGGGCTTACAGGTATAATGACTTCAGGTAATGACTCCAACTTAATGATTGCATTAACTGCAGGTTTTTGTTGCAGGCGAGTTGCCTCTTTTTTCTTATCACTCGCTGAGAACGGTGACGTAACCTTCTTCTTAAGTCGCTCTTTCCTCTTCTTCATTCTTCTTGCTATAGTCAATCCCATGGTTGTAGTAAATAGCAGTTCATCCTCACTGATGTCGACAGCTTCCTCATTGGTGTCGATAACATGAGGAATTGTTGTAGCAAGGGCTTCTTTATTGGTATTGGTACCTAGGGTTATTGCAACAGCAAGGACTTCCTCATTTGTGTCATCAGTTAGAGGAATTACACCAACTGGGGATTGGGGCTTTTTCATTAATGTCATCAGTAGGAGGAATTGCAATTGCTGGGGCTTCTGGCCTCGTTGAGAACGGCTCTGTAGAAGGTTAAATTTTATCAGCTTTACATGCAGCAACATGCTTCAACAATTTCTCCTAAATAGCAACAACTTTCATTTTTAGCCGTCCAAGCCCGAGCCAAGCTTCCTTTCAACATCCTTGATCAGAGAATTACAAAAGGTGCGCATTTCAGTGAACACTTGGTCAGATATGCTAGCAAACTTTGCATCAGTGGATGTTGTGCTGCAAACAAATTCCTTTTGTCTATGTGGGGAGGGGACTTGTTGAGGAGAATGAGGGGGATGGATGGGGGGTTCAGGGTAGATGGCCTGTGGTGTTTGGCTGAAAATATAGTCCTTATGTAGCAGGAGGTTTACTTCCTCTTGTGTAACTCCTTGGAGGTAATAAAAAATCTGTAATACACAGTGAATACACAACTAATACACAATATATAAATAGTCAATACACAGTCAATAAACTAGCATGTGTACCTATCTATCCTTTAGCTCATCAAATATTTGGGAGACCTATTTGGCATAATACATAATTCGACTATCCCACCAAAAGAAATAGAGTCTTAAGTTACCTAATTTAGAGGCATTAATTGAAGTATGCTTAAGGAATCAAACCTGCATAAGATTAAATGTAACATTAGCTAATAACTTCTTTAAATGAATTAATAATTATAAAGATAATTAGATGTTGTTAAAACTTAAGATTAGCAAATGTACAAATCCATTTATATGACCCAGTAGACTCTCCTCAGCAAGCTTATTTATATGACCCAGCAGACTCTCCTCAACAAGCTTTTTAGACATCCAGTTAAACTGAGAAACTAAGAAATTCCTAATGGCTCCTGCCCAATTATAAGATGAGAAATCATCTATATTTTGTGTAACACTAATAAGTCTTTTTATGGTTTTATAGTTATAAAAGTTGAAAAATAAATTGAAGAATAGAAACATGATAAATTTATTTAAAATAATGGAAGAGTAAGTTGATTTGTTGATGAATTTCATCTCATTTTTAATGCCAACTGAGATGTATGATGTTAATGGCTCGCTTTTCCGACTAATATCAACACCTCTTTTGGTAAACTGATACGCCCTAGGGTTCCCAAGTTTGGGTTTGCCCTAATGCTCCTTCAAAGAAAAGATTTCTCCTCCAAATCAAAGAAAAAATCAACACAAGAGGGATGAGATGAAGAACCAAAACCTTTGCATTCAAAATCCAAAGGAAAACAAGATACAATTTGTCCACTTCGAGAAGGACAATGTCTCCCACTACAAACCCTAGAAAAACAAGAGAAATAAACTAAGGAGGCTAAGAGAAAACTCAAATCTTGCATAACCCTAGAAATCCCCCCTTAATCCCTACTTATAGCAAGCAAAAGACCCAACCAAACCCACTAGTGGGCTGCCCAAACTGAACCGCCCAGCTCAGGCTAGACCTGAGCCAAACCGGTCCAGAAATGGACCGGTTCCGCTTAAGCCGATCGGCCCCATCCCGCTCCGCGTCCCTGCTTCGGCGGATCGAACGGCGCGGCGCCCGTTCCGGCTGCTTCCGCGCGCCGCGGGGTAGCCGACCCTCCCTCTGCCGGTCGGCGTTGGCGGTGGCCCGCATCATAAACCTATAAGTAGAACCACTTCATCTGCAGTGAATTGTAGCTCAGTCCTTTGATTATGAAGAATTGATGTGGAATATTTCATAATGTAAGCAGCATGTATATAAGAGGAACATTCTACCGATTTGTAGGGAACTTCAGAAATTGGTATATGTGTAATTTTTTCATGGTGCCCTCGACTTCCTTATCTAAAATATCAACCAAAGAGTCGTAGATAACTCTAAATGTTGATAGTTTGTAATGAGAAATGATTTTTGGAATGCACATCTATAATACACAGTCAATACACAGTTAAAGAAGAATCACTAAATGTACAAAAACATTGCATAAACCATTTATATCTTTATATCTTAACTTTTCACATGCAAATATACAATACAAAGTAAATATACATTAAGTACACAATAAATATATACTCAATATACAGTTAATACACAATCAATACATAATATATAAGACCTAAAATCATAGCACATATATATAATTGATCTATTTGAGTTCTAGCATTTTAAAATGCAATACAAAGTCAATACACAATATACAAGTTCTAAAAGCATAACATGTAGACCCTAGCTTTTAAAATGCAATACACATTCAAATATAAATAATTGAATGACATTCGCCGGTTTGCAAGTAGCATCGAACGTCCAGCTGTACACCAAACTGACTGCCCTTTTGCAATAGCCACATTGTTCAGAGCAGAGAAAAACACAAAATGTGTTTCTAATTGGCATTCTTTGGAGGCTCGCGGCGGCTACAAACATGTGACAAGCAAATGGCGTAAACCCTAAACAATATTTTGAGTTAAATCTGACCTTGCGAGTACACAATGTGAATCAATCTGCAGGATGAGAGAGGGATCCTTCTTCGAAAATGAATTGAACGAGAATGATGGACCTAACCTTGTCCGAAGACGATGAATTGAAGGAGATGACGTTGCACCTGAATTGAAGAAAGAGAGGAGAGCAATTCGTGTTCGAAGATGAAAGGTGAACCGACACCACTTCCCCAACTTTTGATTTGTCACAACTTTCAAAAATTTCACCTATGGATCAGGCTGGGTTGCTGGGTAATGAACCATAATAAATTTCTATATTAAAAATCCACGTGTCACGACTTCATTTAAGTCCAAATGCAAAGCTATGTCCGGACTCTGCAAGTAATAATTTCTCCCCAACTACAATCATCGTACATCCTGATTTCATCTCTCCTCTACCATGGAATGTTCTCTAATACCAATATGGTGTAGACGTGCAAGGAAGAGGAAACAGGTGAAATAGTTTTTCAAGGAAAGGTCATTTTGTATTAAAAAGTTGTCCAACCATTACGTCCACAGCTATTTGAACGGTCACAAATGGTATAGTGGGAAATTCTATATAAAAAGTGCTACCCTTCTATAATACTAAATATTATGGGTTTAGCAATAGTATGCAAATAAACAAAATATCAAATAAACAATTAAGCAACTCAAGACTCAGGGCATAGCGGGAATATATTTATATATCCTAACAGCGTTGCTACGTAATGCTACATAAAAACTTCAAATTCGAATTGAAGCCGACTCGCTTGAATTGGACTCATTTCAAAGGAAACAAGTGTTTTTGTCCACACGAAAACATGCCATCCAGTAATATTAATGCCATTCCATGACAATACAGATCAAAGCCCAGATGAAAATATTTACACTCCTCTTCTCTTACAGGGAACATGTAAAAAAATTGCATAAGTAATTTTAAAAAAAATAAGAAGACCAAAATAGGAACAATAAAAAAACATAAAGAAATTAAGAGAGAGACTAACCAATGTCTTGTAGCTTCAACAATAGCTGCTCCCTCGTTGGAAGAGTACACATTCCAGCAGCAACTGCCTTCCTAACTGGCCATGTATGGTACGGTGCACACACTTGCGCATAAGCATTTGAAGCAGCTTCTTTTGGCGAGCACTCTCTACATGACACAATTTTAACATAAACATTGGCAGCAGCATAAAAGTGTAACATTTCCAGCAACCATTAGCACTCTCATTCCTTTATTGTAATGCTTTCTTTCTTTCATTTTAATTCAATATACTTTTTTGTACAGATTTGGCTTAAAGAATAAGTTTGAGGCTTCCATAATGAAGAAATCATATGATCAATCTCAAAGGTTTCAAGATGTCATCAGCAATTGCTATACATTTTTTCTTGTAAACTCCGTAACAGCACGTAATCTAAGTACCATAAAAATGCAAACAGGATAAAATTGCATAAAAGCTAGTTAAGATGTTCCGTGCTAATTTATGATGAACTCCAATAAAAGCTTTCAACTGTATCAGACATCCTAGACCTCTCATAGTGCAATATTGCAGTCCAATACTTCTAGTGTAATGCCAATGTTGGCTTTTCGGCCTTTTTCCTATCGAGAAATGCCCAAAACTGCTACTGACATAAGTAAGGTTAGAGGAACATGAAATTCACATATCATAACACATTAAAACATTGATAATATATGCTCTTAAGAATTAAAATCAAGCAGCAAAGAATTTTGACAATATAAGGACAAAATAAAAGAGAATAAGAACAATTTTGACGAGCAGACTTCCTAAAACTTTTTACCATGTAATAATCAAATAAAGCTTACCCTAAAACATAATATCAGCATAATGGAAGAAGCACGTACTTGGATGAAAGAAACTGCTCGAACAAGGCTTTTATAAGGTCAAGGCCAAGCCTAACCCTCCGCAAATTACGTGAATGGCTCCCTGACTTTCTAATTGTGCCATTTCGCACATCATGGTCTATTATGCCACTCAAAGTGTAAAATGCCTTTGAAGCTTGCAATAATTTGTTCACCTGCAAAGAAGACAAAGAACCCAGCTCAACAATGCATGGCATAAACCAATATTTGAGATAAATATAAGGTACATTGACAAATTTGCCTCATTAACATAGAATAGACTGAGACAATGAATTTTGCACTGAAAGAAGAAAGGGCATAGATGATGGAACAAAAAACTTTGTAAATCATAAGCAAAAATTATTAATAGCTCATTCACATAACCATTGTAAAGGAAAATAGCTTACTGCATTGTATGATTTATTGGTGCTTGAATCAAATGACAAGTATTTTCAAAAGTCCCACAGAGATAAAATATGTGCAGGATGCGAGCATAATTGAATCACTTTCTAGAAATAATAAGCGTATAAACTGATAAGGAACAAGAAAATTTCTTCCCGATAGCCAAATACACCCAACAATCATCATAAAGAGAATCCCCAGCTCTCTCAAAGCACACTAATAGGTGATTCTTTTTTATTTTAAACAAGAGCAGCAAAAAAGATAATAATCAAAAGAAAACTACCAAAAAAGGTAGCTTTGTACAACTCATAGTGAGTTTCTTCAACAAATAAAGAGTTGAAGAGGAGTCACAACTTTCTCCTATGTTGCATGAAATAGTAAGTCCGTTGAATAATAAATCAAGCTGTAATATAATTCTTAACTTTTGCCTCAATCTTATAACCCCATTGAAACCCAAAACCCTCTTGCGCTTGTGGAGCTAATCACCTGGTTGTGAGAATGGGCTTATCCACCAATCCAGAGTGGTTTGTCATCTATTCAAGATCAAACACTACATTCTAAAAATATACTATTTAGGCAACGATTTCAATCCCTGAGTTTTGTTTTAGCATAAGCTTTTCGATTGAATAAAGCCGCTAAGATGTGTTGTATAATAAACACAGCGGAAATAATAAATCATACAACAAACAATACAAAGAACATGGCGATATACGTTGTTCAGCGAAGATGCCTACATCCATAGGAAGGAGATGATGACTTCACTATATTGGATAACAATATGGATTACAATAAGCTCTTGAGCTCCCTCTTCCTCTCATGCATACAATATAATAGCTCTCAAGCCCTATTTAAAGATTTGAAATAAGATCATATAACTATTGCAAAGATCTAATCATGCCAATTATATCTTCCAATGAGTGTACTAATTAAATCTCATAATTAAAGCCAATAAAATGTTCCCTAACTAATGCATCAATCAAATCTCCAATCAAATCACTAATTAAATCTCCAATCAAATCAACTAATTAGGAAAATAATCAACTCCCTAATCAATTAAATAAATTTGCCATCAAAGCTTTCAAAAATAAAACTTTAATTATATTTGAAAATAATTCCAAATCAAGGGATGCACTTGGTCCTACTTCTCCCAGTGCGATATGCACTACTCTTGCAATGAATATTAACAAAATTTCAAACAGGCCAAGTAATGTTTATTGAAAGTTAAAAATGATGCTTTTAGCTTAATTGAGACAAGCGCTCTATAATCATAAATAACTAGAGAAATGCTATATACACAGAGGAAGTTGTCATCTCGTTTAATAATTGCCTGAAATGCGGTGCCAGTGGGTTGGAGATATGAATCAAATGCTGCAAACGAAAATGTCTCATTATACGTACAAGAAATTGTTCTCTTTTTATTCATGAACTTAGCAGTCTAGTTAAGATTTCAGAAGTTATTTCCAGAATGCAACTATGCTACATGAAAAAAAGGCAAACAAAAACCGACAAACCAAATTGCATTTAATTATTTGAATATACTTATATACCTACATAATAACTAGGGCACTAAATTCCATTGGAGGTCATTCGAACCAATTACTAAGTAATAGTTCACATCTCTGCCTCAACTTGACAACTTCTAATCAGGAATAACAAGACCAACCCCCAATGCATCATTAAACTTTCTTCTCAATTCCACAGCACATAAGGCTTCACTCCCATGGATCGTAGCCCTCATTTTCTCCACATATATATCTCTACTGTATTCAAATCAAAGATAATGAAAGAGAAAGAGGCACAAGAAGAAGCAACAAACCAACCTTTGAAACGTATTCGATCTCCGCAAACTTGAACCCTAAGCCCAGGCATCCGAAGAGGTCCGAGACATGGGAGCAAGCAAAGAGGAAGGGGTGGAGCCGGAGGTCCTCGGAACTCCCCTCCAAAGACTTCGCAAGCTCTTCAAACGCCTCCACTACCGCCGAAAGTGGCGTCCCGACCTCCGCCTCCTTGAATGAATCCGATGACGAAAAGCGGCATTCTTCTTCCATCATTGACCAGACAAGAAAATGAGATGGAAATCGCGCTAGCGTTCTGAGGATTGCGAGCCGAGAGAAGAGGAGAAGCGGGAGAAGGTGTGGGTAGCGGGAGAAGCTGTGGGTAGCGCGGTAGAACGCTAGCGAGGCGTTTATTGGAAACGGCCCATTAACTGCGTTCACATGCATGCATATTATATTTTTGGAAAAATCTTCTATCTGATTAAAAAAAATTGATACTAATAATTCACTTTAATTAGAAAATTATTTTTGCTATTTATTCTATTAAAAAATAATACATGAAAATGTATTTATAAAATAATATCTTATATTCATGCATAAATTTTTTAAAGTCTAAGGCTCATATAATATATATTTAAATATGACTGATTACCCATCGTTGCTTAACTTGGTTGATGGACGAGTACAATTGGGAACCAACCTCTCAAATCGTGCTTTGATTCTTCTCAAATGATAGTGCTTCTTAAGTGGGGCCCAATTAAGTGTGTGTCAAGAGGTTTCTCGGGTGGGTGACTCTTCTAGGTCAACTGAGGATTAATCACGCTGACAAGCAACATTTCGGGAGGTGGCAGTGGATGGATACCCCGTTCCAAAAAAAAAAAGTCTGATTTTCAAATCAAAGCATGTCATCATTCAATGAAGAGCTCTAGAAAGTCTTCGACAGGAGATCATTCAGAAACCCTAGATGCGAGATTATTGTGGAAGGCATTGCCATGAGAGAGGACCAACAACATATTCATATGAATGAGTTCGCAACAAGCACTCGCTCTGAATATTATCATTAGTAAAAAAAAATTGGGTAAATTATTCATTATCATTGAGCAATCAATTATCCCCTTTGGGATGAGAGATTAATGCTTGCGGAGTATGAATTGAGAGAATGTTTGATTTTGTGACTCTAAATAGTAAAAAAGCAGCAGTAGACAATGAATGTGCTTTTACTGTTCACAATCACACAACTAAATGATTATGTGGGTCCATACTCCGAGAGATTATTACGTGCAGTGTCCGGACCGTCTGGAAGAAAATCCGGACGTGTCACATCACCCGGATGCACTGGGCCCCGGGTGACGTGGCTCGTTCGGATTTGCCTCCGAACGAATCCGGACGCCGCACGTAATAATTTTTCTACTCCACACAATAATTTCTGCTTTCAAATTGAGCAATCAAAACATAGTACTAAAAATAAAATAATAATAATTATTATAATTATTATTATTATTATTATTGCGGACTAGAATATACGCGACAATGTAGTTAGAAAGTTTTCGTCTTATTGTTGTATGGATATTCAGTACACAAACAGAAAATGAAAGAACGCTATAATTTTTAGGTGGAAAATCATGGAAAGGGAAAAAACCATTGGGTCACGCCTAGTTGAAAGAATTATACTAGTGTTTTCTTGAGATACAAGAGGCTGACTCGTCCTTAAATTTTAGGACGATCAAATTACAATGATTCACTTCCGGATTGAAATCTAGTTACAAACAAGTTGTGCATTCAAGATGAATTCAAAATCACATGAAGATTAGACAAAATTCCGACGTCACTTGGAGATTGGGCAGAGTTCCGGCGTCACTGGAAAGTCATGCAGAATTCCGGAGTCACTTGGAAGTCATGCAGAATTTTGGCGTCCCGTGGAAGTCGGGTAGTGTTCCGGCGTCCCGTGGAAGTCAGGCAGAATTTTGGTGTCTCGTGGAAGTCGGGCAGAATCCTGACAGTGGTCGAGGAGGAGTTTCTTCCCTCCTTCCCTTCTCTTCTTCTTCTTCTATTTTTCTTGCTTGGGCCCCCTCTCAAGAGAAATGAGGGGCTATTTATAATTTTTTGAGGATGGCATGACCCGTGAATAGGAGGAGGATCAAGGGCAAATGTGGAGTGATTTGGATGGATAGTCGATATTGAATCCCTTGATCGTGAACCGTTTGTCAGACATTTGAAGATCTTAATGATATCTGAATTCGGCGATCTTGGACTCGTTGGATTCGTCTCATCAAGCCGCTTGATTCAATTATAAGCATGTCATGTTTGCAAACCATTTGGTAATCCAAATTGTTGCTTGAACCTTTCAACAATGCTTCGGGTCTTCAATTCGGACTCATTTGGGCTCGGATTGAGCTGAATTTGGTGTTGTTGGGTTTGTATTTTCGAGACACTCAATTCTATTGTAAGTTTGCTGAAATTGGAGTTCAGATAATCCCTGATTTAATTTTTGAAATTTCCAGCTTAATTTTGTCTTGAGATTCGTGCCGATCAAGATAAATTTTTCTATGATATATCAATAATAATAAAATGCCGAAGGTGCAAAAAGAACATGTCCTCCCTGCTTCTCCACGGCATCTAATTAGTCATTAATTAAATCCCAAGGCTGCCGCCATTAAGTGCTTTGAGTTTTTACAGGTGAATGGACTCTGCATGTATTTCTCCTTAATAAATTACTAATATTATTGTCTTTACACGCACAGGCATCCGCAATTGCTTATTTTTTCCCAAGTCTCCTCTCATATATAAAATCAGCCAACCTGCACTTAATTTACTCCCACAACAGACATTCTATTCTCCTCCCTTCTGCTTCCCTCCATCTCGTCCTTCTCTCTCTCTCTCTCTCTCTCTCTCTCTCTCTGCAACATGAGTCCTTACAGTGGAAACAAGTGCAGCGAAGAAGAAGAGCTCGACTTGTTCTATTTGGAGATAGAAGAAAGGATTTTGCTCCTCATCTCAGAAGAAGAAGAAGAAGAAGAAGTAGAAGATAGAATGAAGAAGACAGAGAGGGCGGCTTTTCTTCCCTTGAATAGAAGCACTACCCAGCTTCCTTTCCATAATATCTCTTCATTCCTTGATGCGAGTTGGTACAGCAACTCTTTTATCGAGCAGCTGCAGCCAACAAAGCAAGGGAGAAGAGGCTGTTATGGAACTGAGAATATTGGGAAGAAGATTAAGCCTTGGATTCATGAATACGGTGCGAGGAATAATGGAGGCAAGCGAGTGCCTGAGAGCAGCGGGAGGAAGGGGACGGGTGTCTTCTTTCCAAAATCTCTCGCTCACAGCTGTTGATCGCAAGTAGTGAATTGATCTCGATGTACAGATCAGACCTTTTCTTTTATTATTATTATTATTTAATTAGTTCTTATGGTTATTTCTTTCTTTATGTTTGTAAAGATTATTTGCTTGTTAATATTGACATTCATTTATAAATGAGTTGAATGCTTACTTTGTAATCTTTTCCTTTTGAGATCAATGTTTTTTTTTTGTTTTTTTTTGAAACAAAATGTGTTTGATATCTTAAAAATATGTTATTTTCATTATTGAATATTGAGTAAGTTGATTACTGTGATGGTGTGACGATTGTAGTCGACAGGTTGATGAATACAACATTGTTCAACGATGGTGATAGTGATGACTGGTTATGTAATTGCTTTTAAATTCTTCAATACACGAGTAGTTTTTAGTTAAATTATTTGATACAAATTACAACAATTCACAATTCCACTTATTTCTTGATCAATTTTATAGAGGAAGTATGAAAGGGCAAGACAAAGAAGATTGATTATAGGAGCTTTCAATTAGAGAGGAAAGGAAAAGAACATAAAAATGGGTCAAAAGTGGAGAAAATATGCCAGTTTGATGCATTTTAATGCTTGGGTTCAAGTGTATTTGAAGTCATTTGATTTGTCTTGATTAGCATATCATTTATGTAGTAAGAAATTATCATACTACATTGGAGATGAGAGTTCGACAGTGAGGGGTGGCCTGAGAGATTGATGGGAAGCAATGACAACAATGATTCAATGAAAGATACTACCCATAATATAATTGTTCAATGAACTAAATGTATAAACTTGTACATCTTGATAGCATTAGTAGAAAAAGTGTTGGATTGAAATTATAGTGGTTGGTTGCAATGAATAATAATGAGAAGGTACATTGATGAGATTTTGAGCAGTTGAAAAATGGTGATGAAAAGCTATTTCATATCAAAATATTCAACTCCCTAATATGAACCCGGCCTTAGTATTAAATGTCTCACAAAAGTAAGGATTGTGAAGATCATAGGAACTCTAAAATTTTCAATATTAATTAGAGTAATTGCATATAAATGAATGCATCATATCATGTTTTGTCATGATAAGAAAGATTCAAGTGCTTTATATAGAGGGGAGAGAGCAAGTTTATAACCTTTATAAAATTTGAACATTATCAGTTAACAAGTAATTAAATGAACGCACCATGCATGTCATTTTCTAACCTGGTCAAGATGATGCAACGACTTTCTTAAGAGAACATCTAGGCTTCATCATGTAGTGAATTGTTGGTAGAAGGGCTAGAAAGCTATTTTAAAAAGCGACAAAACAATTGTCCCAAACTAAGTCTTAATGGCCTAATTGTCGTTCGAGAGGGGGTATTAGGGGTACAAAGGGGTTCTTTTTATTTCTCTGTGGCAAAGGCTCCTCCCTTCACGGGCTCAGCATGCATGGCCATCGATGACACCTTCAATGAAGAGAATTGGAGAAGAAAAGTAGAGAAAAAAATATAGATGAGAAATGTAAATTGTATTTCATTAATTTTGGAGTTACATTTCTATTGTATACATATAGTGTTGTGAGTTACATGATTGTTTGAGATGAGTGGTTAGGATGAAATATTTTATCTATTTTGCGAAGGCGGATGGAGCAGGGAGTTAGCCGCAGAATGCAGAAGTAGTGGAGAGTGATGAGTCTGATAGATTGATGTGTTTATCTGACTTCTTCCTTATCAAACCTTCTAATAGCCCCTCACAAACTAATGAGTCATAGTTTGGATCATTAGTTTGTGTATAAGTTGATGAAATTTGGTAGAGGATAATGGTTTGGTGAGTATGTCGGCAGGTTAATCAGCCGAATTGATATGTATGACTAGAATTTCATTGGATTTGTTGATGCATTCTTGGATGAAGTGGAAATCAATCTCTATATATTTTGTTATAGCATGAAAAACAACATTGTTTGCTAATGTCATGGCTGAAGTGGTGTCACAATGTAAAATTGTGGGAGCATTTGGTGGTGTTTGAAAATCAGTGAGAAGATGCCACAGCCAAATAATGTCGGATGTTGCGAAAGCGAGAGCTCTATATTCTACTTCGATTGAGGATTTTGCTACTATTGTTT